GGATTGTGAGTATTTAGAGTATGGGGGGTTATTAGAAAAATTTTAGACACAAATGCATGCGTTGCGGTCTTGGCATGATGGTTGGGTTCGATTGGAGTTTTCCTATGTGGTTCTAATGTGTTAAAATTCAGTTTTGCTTGGGGGCAAGCAAAATTCAAGTGTGGGGTATTTTGATATTTGCATAATTAGCCATATGTTTAGCATATATTTTTATTCATTTTTAGCTAATTATGTGCATAATATGGACAAAAGGTACTTAATAATGCTTAAATTGTGTTTTCACTCCAAAAGACATGCTTGGAGGTAAAAAGGAATAAGGAGAAGCAATTAGAGACCAAAGAATGAAGAAAAAGGAAAACCCACACCTACTCGGCGAGTCCACGCACCAACTCGGCGAGTTCATGAGAATGTTCCCGAAGAAAAGTCAAGAATCCTTGCCGTACACGGATTTTACACGCCTACGCGGCGAGTTGGGGGACCTACTCGCCGAGTTGCCCCTGTTTTGTGATAACTATAAATATTGGATCTTAATCCGAATTGAAAACTTTTTCTGGCTTCTTGGAGTTACACCTGCGATTGAAGAACCCTTTGGAGACCTGAAGAACCCTAACCTTTGATCTTTTGAAGACTCAAGGCGAATTAGGTTATATTTTCCACTTAATCTTAGGATTGAATCATTTTTAACTTAGTTAAATTTGTGTTTGAGCTTGTTTCCACTGTAATCATGAGCTAAATTTTTATTGTTTCTGTTTAGGAATAACCAAATTACTCCTATGGTTTAATATTAACTTTTATTGATTGTTTATTAGTGATTTTATTAAATTAAGTTTGTTAAAGAACCTTATGCATTAACCACAACTATTTTCTGTTAATTGGAAAACAATTAAGCTGCATGAACATCTCTTAGTTGTTAACCTCATATGTTTATGTGAACACTTTGTCATATGTCTAGGAATAATGAACATGAAACTATAATTAATTAGAGAATGAGTAAATTAATGTGTGAGCTTGTTTGAGAAACCAACAAACAAGAGGTTAATTGAAACAACCACTTAATTAACCAATTACAAATATTATTTAATCCAAATAATTGAACTAGGGAATTAATTAGTTTAAACAATTGGCCACTGCTTGAAATGATTAATTGTCTAAGGGTTAGTATTAGTGAACATGAATCTAACCACTATAGTCGGTAACCAATAACAATTAATTTATCATACTATTATACAAATAACCATAGGAGTGAATTGGTTGGACCTAAACAAAAACTCTTTATCAAATTTGGTGAATTTTTACTTGTTTTAGTTTTTAGTTAATCACTTGTTATGTGTTGTGTTTAAGTTTCTAGTCTTGTAAAACTAGAGAAAAACCTTTACTTTTATTACTTGCTTAGTTAAAATTAGTTATTAGTTTAATTTTCGTTCCTGAGTTCGACACTCTACTTATCCAACTATACCACTAAAAGGCAGATTCACTGTCTTTGTGTGCTAAATTTATAATTTAAAAGTAGGATTAAAACTAGTGCATTTTACACACATCAATTGTTCTACAAACTCGTCGAGTCCATGCTCCTCAAAACCCAAAACAACCTCGACTCTACTCGTCGAGTCTAGCAACAAATCGATGGGTTCTCCTTCAACTAAACATTCGAACCATCTTTAACCGACTCGCCGAGTTGTAGAACAACTCGTCGAGTCTATCTTCATAAGCTAAGGAGATTGCCTTGGACTCTCCAAGTTCCTACTTGAACTCGTCAAGTACCCTGATCTTCATGTCCATTATGGATACAAACTGGCTGAGTCCTTCTCTAACCCCATTCACTGATCCGACTTATAAACAGAAGGGGTTCGGTTTACGACCCGACTCGTCGAGTCCATGAACTGACTCGCCGAGTCCGTCTTATGACATATCTATTATGCTAATTCCAGTCCATCCCAATACCTCAAACTCATAGATATGGACTCCTTATGCTAGCATTGCACATAAAGTTGCTAACTTTATGTGCATGCAAGGTGTTATGAAGCCAAAACTCTTAATCCAAGCTAGAAAGAAGGTCTAGGTCATGAAATGGGATATCAACTGGATAAAGCCAACAAATTTTACAAATCCGTGAGTATTTTCTTGTATATAATTATACCACAACAGAAAAGATAGATAGAATATGAAACCATCAAAGATTAACACTCTGCTCAACATGTTACAAAGTGTAATGAAAGTTGTAAGCTGTTAACTTGTTTTTAATATTTCTGTACTGTTTTGGAAAAATCACAGAAAAATCATACAAATTCAAAATCGTAGACTCTGGGAGTTTAAGAAATGTGTCTAGTTTGTTCATAAATTTTATCATGATTTTTATATGTCTCTAACTTGTGTGAAAATGTCCATATTCACAGACTGGTCCGGATTTGTAGCTATAGTGATAGGCAGTTTTGTAAAAATCGCCATATAGTGTAGAAAAATCGTATGAACATGTGAAAGTAGTCATTTTAAATAGATAAACCTGAACTATTTGTATCTAATACAGTTTTGAAAACTAAAATGTTTAAGTTAACCAAAAAAGTCTGTGAATGGAGTTAAACTTTTCAGATGAAAGTTGTTGGATGAGTTTAGTTATGTTCTTGGTGTTTTAACTTGTATTCCCCCCCCCCCCCCTTAAAACTTAAGAAAACATGATAATGTAGGGGTATGAACTCACCTTGTGTGATTTCAGTGGATGGATGTTGAAGAAATGAAGTATTCAACTAAAGAACACTTAGAATGTTGCTAGAAGATTCGAAGATCTAACACAAATATGATGGAGTTTGTGTAAGGGATCTATGACTTGAGTTAAAAGGAAGTGTAATGATCATATGAAAGATGATGATACTTAACAAATGAAGAAGAAAAGTCTTGGAAAAAGCCTTGGAAAAATCGGAATTGGAAGAGAGAAGTTGAGAGAAAAGTGTTTGCTCTTTGGGTGGAAATGAGATAAATGAGTGAGAATGAGGAGAGAGGGTGAGTTTTCCAGTTCTTAGAATGTGAGTATGGCTGGGAAATGAGTGGGAAAGGACTATGAAGTGACTAGGGATAGTGGGGAGGGGTGTGGGTTGGTCATGGAGTGGGTATGGGTGGTTGCTTGTGTCATAAACTAAAGAAAAATCAACACTCCACCTCTTGTACTTCACCCACTGTTCTTGGATAAGATTTATCCCAAAAAACGTGATTAATTAATAAATATGGGGCCTTATATGTTAAAATAAAGTTTTGGGTGAAAACCCCGCGCTAAAATGATGAAAAATGGGCCTAAAACAAAGTCGTAGTCGAAAATCGAGCAAAAAGAGCATTACAACGAGGCTTCTCGGATTGGGTCGGAGGTTCGGTCCTTAGCAGTTTGGACCCGAAGGCAAAGTGGGGAGAAAGGGGTAAGAGGCGAAGGTCTGTGCGAGGTTCGGGTCCGAGAGGACCTTCAGGTTCTGTCCCTGCGAGGCTCAGTCCGAAAGGGTTTCAGTTCGGTCCTAAGGGTTTCGGTCCGAGAGGCTTCGACTCTTCCAGCTTCGGGTTCGGTTCAAGCATTTCGGTTCTTAATAGGTTCGGTCCCTATAGGGGACCTTCGGCCCTAAGAGGGTTCACTCCCTAAGGGGTGGTTTCGGTTCCTTTAGGCTGTTTTACCCATTTTTACCCCGTTTTAAGCGATTTTTGACCCGGTTAAGGGTCGGGATGACCCGAATGGTTACAAAAAGTCACGGGAACTTTTGAGAGAGATTTAGGAGAGATTTTTAATAAAGAGAGATAGAGTGAAAGAGATTGGGAGAAACTTCTTTTGTGACCTTTTTGAGTGCTTAGCTCCGCAACGCAAGGTCCGTAAGCCCCGTTAAGCCATGTTTAAAGATCTTATACACTTCCGATGAGTATGCAACATTGTTTTATCGATTTGGTTCGTTACTTACCATAGTTTTAGGTTAATGAAATCTAGATATATGAACTTTTCAATTGATGATTTCTCATTAGCATAACGAGTTGTATAGTAATTACCTAACGTAAGCCCTAGCACACAAGGGTTAGTTGAGTTGACCGGTTTGACTTGTTGACTTTATTTGACTTTGACTTGACCAGAATTTGACGGTTGTCACAAGTTTTTCGTGCTAAGTTAGAGGATCTTAAGAAACAACTCTTCACAAATCACATCCTCGGCGTGGTGGGTTCATACGTTTATGTCATTGAGTTTCAAAAACGTGGTTTGCCGCATGCACATTTCCTCCTGATAATGAGACCTCCATACAAGCTTACTAACGCTGACCATTACGACAAAATAGTATCTGCTGAAATTCCAGATCCAAAAAAGTATCCTGAAATGCACGAATTAGTCGTGTCACACATGATCCATGGTCCTTGCGGTGGCTTAAACTCTGATTGTCCTTGTATGAATAACGAGCAAAAGAAATGTCGTTTTAGATACCCTCGGCAATTCAATGAAACCACGTTACAAGGAAAGGACTCATATCCTGTTTACCGAAGGAGAGATAATGGTATAGAGGTGGACGTACGGGGCAATAAGATGGATAACAAGTGGGTTGTCCCATATAACCCAAAGTTGTTAATGATAACCTTTGTGAAATATGTGTTTAAGTATATTTACAAGGGTCATGACAAACAAATTATCAATATTGATCCGGATGGACAACTTGTCGCTATTAATGAGATAAAACGGTTTCAGGATGCACGATATCTCTCACCTCCAGAGGCCATGTGGAGGATTTTTAGCTTCCCTCTTTCTCAGATCCACCCTTTTTGTGATGGCTTTGCAGGTGCATCTCCCAAATCAGCAGATGGTTAGGTTCAGGGAGGATGATACGATGACTAGCGTTGTTGAGAAGGAGAAAGATATGAGATCCATGTTGACTGTTTTTTTTCTAAAAAATAAAGAAGATACCACTGCGAGAGAGATAAAATATAGAGATTTTCCAAAAAAAATTACGTCGGATCCGAGCTCACCTTGTTGGCATCATTGAAAACAAGGATTAATGCGGGGTCGTATGGTTTCCGCCAACCCCGTTGAAGGGGAGCGATACTACTTTCGCCTAATTTTATTGCATATTAGTGGGCCTACATGTTTTCAAGATCTCTACACAATCAACAATGTACAACACCCAACATTTCAGAAAGCAACTCTTGAAAGAGGATTAATAGAGTCTGATGATGGTTTATCACAATGTCTTACAGAGGTATCTTTATTTCAAGCTCTTATTGCTCTTAGAATGATGTTTGCAACGATATTGAATTTTTGTGAGCCAGGAGATGTTTGTAGGTTATGGGATGACCACTACAATGCTCTTTCGGAAGATTATAGGCAACAATATGGAAGTATTGAGAGAGTCCAAAATATGGTCCTCATCAACATCAAGATATTCCTACAATCTATGAATGACAACATTGATTGTTTTGATCTTCTAAAGATAAATGAAAATGTCGATTTAGAATCTGGAGTTTTTCGTGAGGTACAAGAGGAATGCTCTATTATTTTAGAATTAGAACATTTACAAGCCCGGGATTTTCTCAATCCTGAACAAAAATTTGCGTATGATGAGATAATGCGGCATGTCCATAGTAATATTCCAGGAGTTTTCTTCATAGACGGTCCCGATGAATCAGGAAAAACATTTTTGTACAAAGATTTACTTGCTGATATTCGTTCGTGTGGTTATATTGCACTGGCGACCGCTTCATCGAGTGTTGCGGCTAATAACATGCCTGGGGGAATAGCAACTCACTATCGCTTTAAACTTCCTATTAATCTGGAAAATAACTCGGTCTGCAAGATTTCAAGACAAAGTGGCATTGCTCAACTGCTTCGGACTGCAAAAGTAATCACATGGGATGAAGCGTCGATGACTAAAAGACATGCGTTGGAGGCGGTTGACCGAACAATGAAAGATATCACTGGGGTGATGCTCCCATTTGGTGGAAAGATAATGGTTTTGGGAAGTGATTTCAGACAAGTTTTGTCTATCGTTAGACGTGGAACACAAGCACAGATTGTGGATTCTAGCATACAAATGTCGCCTCTTTGGTCTTCGATTATCAAGTTGCGGTTAACTATAAATATACGAGTACTAACCGATCCATGGTTCTTAGACTTTTTTTAACGTGTCGGTGATGGAGTTGAAGAAACAGTGCAGGGAAATTTTATTTGCATCCCTGATGATATGGTAATTCCCTTCACTAAAAAAGAAAAGTCATTGAATGCTTTGATTGATGCAATCTTTCCATCCTTGAAAATTAATAGATCTCAAACCGATTATATTATTTCGCATGCAATATTATCCACAAGAAATGATAGTGTCATTGAGATTAATGATTTATTGATCGGCCGATTCCATGAAGAAAAGAAAAATTACTTCAGTTTTGATGAAAAGACATAAATAACTTATATATCATATGGAATTAAATTACTTAAGTTTTGATGAAGCTGAAGACATAAATAACTTATATCATGTGGAATTCTTGAACACACTCAGTGTTAGTGGTTTACCCCTCATTACCTACGACTGAAAGTTGGATGCCCAATAATATTGTTACGGAATCTCGACCCATCAAATGGATTGTGTAACGGCACCCAGTTGATATGTAAATATTTTCAACAAAATGTATAGATGTTGAAATAGCTGTTGGTCAGCATGCTGGAAAGAGAGTTTTTTTGCTAATGATTCCTCTATATCTATTCGAAGATGATATATTCAAGTATATCACAAATCTATTCATAAACTACTTATCAATTTCACATATATCACAACCAATGTTGCAAAATTCGTTATCGTTTCCAGGAACAATAATTTGGTTTAAACAGACAGAACTCAGATAGAATAGGATCGGAATTGATTTTTACGAGTTTAACCGATTACAAGTTTTTTTGACCGATTTTTCATTAGCTGTCCGATCCTAAATCACAAATCTATTCATAAACTACTTATCAATTTCACATATATCACAACCAATGTTGCAAAATACGTTATCGTTTCCAGGAACAATAATTTGGTTTAAGCGGACAGATCTTGGATAGGATAGGATCGGAGTTGATTTTGATTTTTACTGAGTTTAACCGATTACAAGTTTTTTTGACCGATTTTTCATTAGCTGTCTCAGTCGCTTTTCAATTCCGTTTAATGGGCCGCTACGTTTAATGGACAACTTAAACCAATTTTACAGCACTATCACAACAAATATCACAGCCCACGCGTGACCCTCAAACTTGTAGAGGAAATACAGTGTTGATTGTTTTATAACTTATTAAAAACTGCTTTCGCAGTCTACCATTCTTATGTTTTGACACATCCATTATTTTCCTCTAATATCCTCCTCTATGAAAGAGAGTGAACATGTTCCATCATCGATGACCGAATTATGTTGGGAATGTTATGTTTGTTATAGATAATCTTGGCTAGTCAAAATAAACGCACAAAAAATAATTACAACGGCCAAATGAGACGGAGATGAATAAGTAGTTGGTTAATAACACATATAACCAAATACGATCTATATTGTGTTTGATTTAATTAAAACTTGCTTTTTTGTCATTCAACATAAAAATTAAAACAGAAAAAACTATTAACACTTTTACAAAAACGATTACAAAAAATACAATTTAGAAATTTCAGGACAAACGAATTAACCTTCTTCTCACCTACACTCCACTTCACGTAATTCTAAAATACTAACAGTTAGATAATGAATCAACGCAGAATGTAAAACTAAGGACTATACATGCTACTAAAGATAAAGGCAAACAAAATATGGAAGAAACATAAATTCATTCGCAAGAATCTGAACAATAGCCAACTTTGGAATCGTCTATGAAGATGCCAAAAGAACAAACACAAAACATTGTAAATGCAGACACATATATACCCACAACAAACGAATAGACATCAGATTCTCTTATAACAATGTCAATCTTCATAAAAGAAGATATACATCAACCAAAAAAGAATCAGATGTCTACTCATTAATTGTAGTATTGTGTAACATGTATACGGTATACCCCTCAACCAAATTTACCAATAAAAAAGCAACTCTCGCGCATATTTCGAATCAAACTATGGAAATGATGACATACATCAAGAATCAGAAGATTAGGGGAAAAAAGTGGTATATTGTCAGATCACAAAATTTCATCAAGATGTTATCAGACAGGGATAACTGTGTAAATATATGATCTCATCATTCAAAATCCACTTACCATAAGCAATCAATATCTCAATCAAATCAATTAAATTTAGCATTTGATAAAAAAAAAATTGAAGAAAAATGAAAATAGCCTCAGACCGTCCTAGTTCATGATTTTCAACAATTTAGCTAATGTAAAAACTAGCTTTCAGTAAACCATAATTATAAACTGTCATCAATGGCCATAAACAAATGAAAAATCGATATTTCTGATGCGCTATGCACATCGGTTAGATTATCAAAACGAAATAACACGAATGTTCAGGAAACGGATTAGAGAGCAGAAAAAGAAAATTAAAATCGATGAGAACAATTTGAGAAACAACACAGTTTTTAAAGAAATCAACAACGGAATATGAACAAAAAGGAAGACTATCTTAGACTGAAAAGGGTAGATGCGAGATGGATTGATTTTTTAGGGTTATGAACGCTCGTTTTATAACTTGCTTGTGCAGTGGTGGAGATTGATCGGATCGTTATACTCACGCCGTAGTTGACCTAAGCGGCTAAGCCCAGTGAAGCTTTGGGCTTCCATTGGAATATAATTTCACACTCCAAAGTCCAATCCATAACCGATTGATAGTTGTAAGAAATATTTATTTTAGTTTTGTAGATTTTTTTAACTTTGTGAAAAGAAATATATTAGAATTTGTTAAAATAATCAAGATCGTGAAGTTGATTATATAAAAAGTATTTTCGTGTCGGAAAACTTAATTTCATGAATTTACTATCATTATTTGCAAAATTTAGATTATTTTGTGAGACTTTGAAAATATAATTAAATATGATCGGTTTAGTAAAAAGTTCTATTAAGCGGTGTCTTCGCTCTTTAAGGTCGAGGGTTCAAATTTTATCGTGGATATAGGTGAAATTTAGATGTTATTTTAGGAGTAGATTATATATTTATATTTGCTTGTTCAAAAAAAAAAACTTTATGAAGCGAATGATATAAGTGTTGATGAATGATTTGATGATGACAATATCAGTAAAAATGTGATGGCATCAATAACAAATCTGCCAAAGTGAACCAACAGCTCATAATGAGATGAAATGTGCACACGACATGTAAAATCTAAAATTGACCGATTAAGAAAATCATAGTTTCGCCAAAATGTGTGGTGTTTTTCGACTATTTGGGATCGTTTTGGGTCTACAAAACATGTTTATTCTAAAAAAATCAATAGTTTTTTTTTTTTTTTTTATAATTTTTTTATATTTGATTTAGGTAATTGATTATGAATCTTATTATTATCAAGTAGAAGAAACTCCGCCGTGCCGTTGGTGCCGTCTGAATATTCAAAGACTTAGGGTATAGTCTGTAGTGTTTGCGTTAATCTAAAAGAAAAAAGTACATGTAAAATACATATATATTAATGACATAGAAGCTGATCTAGAACCCAATATATGAACGAATAAAATATGGAGTCATACATATTGAACAACAATGGCAAAAAAAAAAAACGTTCATGTAAACACTTGGAACGGCTACAAATACGGTTGATCATCTTTCGGGAGGTTCTTGATGGTTTTCTTCATATCATGGATCGACTCCGTTGTCCTTTTTTGTATGTTGTGGATATCATTTGTTATTTCTTTGATATATATATATATATATATATATATATATATATATATATATATATATATATATATATATATATATATATATATATATATATATATATATAATTATAATAATCATGTTTCTAAATCAAAACTTCGATCCATGAGCATATCATATCAGTTATATATAGTAACAGTTACACTTGTTAGGGCAATAATCACCTTCTTTCAATCATCTTTTAGGAGTGAGTCGTTAGGCTGCACTAAAACTACATTTTATTGCCCATTTATGAACAAAAATTAGAGAAAGGATTTATCCTATGCTTTGGATAAAACTAAGGTCTGGGTATGGAAATATTTACCTGATAGTAAGTTGAAATATGACACCCTTTGGGACCCGCATCTAGTTAAAAACCTGTTCCAATAGAAAAATGTTATAAGTAAAAAAAAAATCCTAAACTCATAAATCATATAAAATCGGTTTGATTAAAACAACACTTTAAATGAACGTAAATTAAAGGAATAACCAACATGAAATATTATTTCTGTGAGAAGTTTGATGAATTTCAATCATGGTGGGAAGCAGGTCTTACATTCCCTTTGCTATGCTTTGAGGCATATAGTATGTCTCGTTTGTTTTGATCTTTAAACATAAGACTTTATACAATATAAGTATATTTCCATCTAACCATAATTCTTTCATTTAACATATACACCCATGTGGTATATACCCATAAGTACACATCGTCATTTCTCAAATTACACATTATTTTAGCCATTTAAATGTATATATATATATATATATATATATATATATATATATATATATATATATATATATATATATATATATACACACACACACACACACACACACATGCATATTGTTGGAATAGTGTCTAAGGCTACAACTATATTTGGAAAGTACTTGACCCGATTGAGCATGGTCCTTTTGGGTTGCCTTCACCATAGCAACTTAATAGGATGATTTACAATGAGAGTTGAAATATTATAAGGAATAATAATATTGTTATTTGATTAATATAAGTCATAAATTAATTAGGAATTAATTTGGTGACTTAAGGAGATTAATTGAATAGAAGGACATAAATTGTCAAGTGTATATGATAGTTGTACTTTAGGCTATAATCCCTTATGTATAAGGGGTGGATGATTTTAGGGGCTTAGGATAGACCTAAAATCCGTCCAAGGCTTATCATGAAAGGGATTAGGATTGCTTAGGGCCTAAGTAATCCAATTAGGGTTTAAAGGTGAAACCCTAGGAGCTTTACAAGTATAAATAGACCCTAGGGTCATGGAAATCGGTACCCTTGTCACTAAAGGAACCCTGGCCGAATTC